AAAGAAAAGTACATGTGGCTTTACATCATTCATAGAAAGGAATTGATACATTGATACATTTGAAACCATTTCAGTTTGGTCCATTTTAATTTTCTAAATAGAAGGAATTTGAAAGTAACCTGTTAAAAACATGAGCATTTAAAAGTAAGGTGTCTTGTATTGAGGTAATTCAGGTTACATTTTGCACATTATATTATCTGTGATGTACTGTACCTGTGTTTCATCCAGGGAGAGTTCTTTCTTGCACCTGTTGCTTGCCAGGATAGACCCTTGCTCTGCTGCAACCTCATACTAGATAAAGTGATTAGAAAATGTATGTATGTATGTTATACCACTGTACAGTTTTATATAATTTTTAGAGGACATGCGTTGAGGAAAACACCATTCCATGCACTGAAACCACTCAGCCTCATCACATCAGCTCAAGATTGGATGAGCTGATTTTTGTTTTTCAGTGAATTAAATTACTGTGATTCAGTCTAACTCTTAACATTCAACCAATACAACAATCATGTAACACAGAGTACAGATATTTCAATTGTTCTCAAATAAAATCTAAAATAAAAGAGGGTAGACTTCTAATGAGGTTTCATGGAAAAGAAGAACAAATTGAGACAGGAAGGGTTAATTGAGATGAGAATGGCTGAAAAGCAACCTGTTAAAGTTAAAGCAATTATTTTACAGAAAAGCTTTCCAAAATAGGTAAAGACTACACTCTAGTAACATGAAACAAAACCAAACCTACAGAGGAATTCACTCACTGCTACAAGAGACTTTCATATGTGGATTAATCTTTCATATAAACAACACAGTACACAAAAACACAATGGAGAAATGCCTACTATTTGACAAAGACTTAAAAAAGACTGTCAAAAGAAGGTGAAAAAGACTCAAAAGACACAGTATTGGAAATGATACGGACAGAATAACATAAATAACAATGAAAGGTATAAAAAATGTGGATTCATAAATAAGGAAATGATCAGAAAACATGAAAGTAACAAGTCAACATAAATCAAAGACTTCAAAGAAAATACCAAAGAGCTATAGCAGGGCTGAGATTCTACTCCAATTAAAACAGATGGGCTTTAAGATGCATTTTTTAAAATCTTTAGAACAATCATAACTGTTTAAAGACGTATTTATGACTAATGCAATTTAAAGTGGCCTTCCCTTCATACTGTATGTACAGTATACAGTATGTTACATTACTTTTGCTCTTTTCTCTGAAGAATACAGAAATAATCAATATTAGCATTGTAAAATTCTAAACCTGAAGTGCAGTTTACTTTCTGTAATAAAATCTAAAAACAAATGAATCTCCACAATTAAAATGTTTATTGTGTCAAACAAAAAAACACTCTTATGCGGCTGTGCATATAGGTTTTTATAAAAAATATGTAGTATGTACAATAATATGTAAAAAAAATACAACATATTTTTAGTCGCCATTGAAATATGATAAAGGAATTACAGCACTGTATTGTGTTTTGTTTTACTGCTGTTTATTCAAATATGTCCTAGATAAGTGACTGTTTGGTTTTTGGTTTTGGCAAAAACATAGTTGTGGGACGCTTTGCATTCAAGTCTTGAGAGTTACACTGCTTTTGTAACCTTCAACAAGGTACTACACTCAAACTGCTGTAGTAAAACATATACTGTCCATGTATATTTATGTACATATACTGTATACATGAACTCTCCAGGTTGTCATTGTAAATGAAAATTTGTTCTCACCTGACTCGTCTAGTTACATAATTAAAAAATAAAACAAATGAATAATTAACAGGCATTTTAAGTGGCCACTGAATTTGGAAACCATTATGTCCATTATATTAAAAGTAATCTACATAGACCAACAAGACATCAAACTGATGCTCATCTTTCCATCAGCTTCTCTGGTACAGTACATTTTAGATATGCCTCGATATCTCAAGTCAGAATTTCCCCTTCTGAATCTGACTCAAGTTAGCATTGGACTGTGAGGAGAGAACAGAAAGAAGAGATGGCAGAATAACAAAGTAAAGAAAAAATGTTTTTTTTTCCAACAACGCAAATAAATCAAGTAGACAGAAAACAGAATCAAAAGCTAATGTACACATTCTACGACTGAAGATCAAGAACTTGTAATTTATATTTGATCAGCAAGCATTGCTGTGTCACAATACTGGGTCCCTGGATTCAATTTCTAATACTGTTTACTGGTAGGTTAATTGGCTTCTGGGTATGGGTGTGTATACAGTATATCTGTGTTTCTGGCTGTCTGCCCTGTGTTGGACTGGTGTCGCATCCAGGATGTAGTGTGCCTTGTGTCTTTTGCTTGCTGGGATAGGCTAAAGCTCCCTTCTGTCCCTGAATTAGACAAATCAGATAGAAAATGGGTAGATGAATTGAGATACAGTGTACAGTACAATGTTAGAAACACAGAAAGTGTTGAACATGATAAGAAATGGCTTAATCCTACAATGTCTTAATGACAATATTATTAATAATACTTTTCAGCAACTTGATCCTTGAATTTCTTTGAGACAGATGTGGACAGTAGTTGATTTTAAGATAAATGCTTAGAAAGTAAGACGTTCATTGAAACAGAAAATGTCACTTTCACTTTTTTTTTCCAGACAAATACCATTCTCACTCCTTAATGTAAAACTAATTTGTTGCTATAAATATGATCATATTTCGAATCCCTGTAATGATATTGGCAGCACAAGGACAATTGTGGGCCTTCTCTGTATTATCACAGTGTATTGAATTCTACTTTTCCATATGTGCTAATTTGGTTAGTTTACGCAGATAATATGCACTGTATAGTGCATGTATTTAAATTGTATTAAATTGTATTTACAATAAATGCCAAAAAATGAATGGAATAGAAAAAAAACAGGCAGAAAAAAGGATGATTTATAAATGCCAAGTTTCACACAACCCATGGGGCAGATGTTGTGAATTACGAGTCAGTCTTGAGACTCTGAAATTGCATTGCAAATGAGATTCTTAATGAGAAACCACTGTTTCTGTGGTCATGTCAAATCAATTGACTTCTTTTTAGAAGTAACTTAGGTCTTCAAAAAAACTAAACTGATAAGATTTGTTTGAATGAAGGAAACCAAATTCACAGAAGAGCTGAAGACTATGAAAATATTTTTTCATAATTCATAGTTTCCAAATCTAGTTAAGCATTGTTTTCCAATACTGGGATGGAGTCTCTCATAGCAAGACATAATCCATCTGTTGTTAAGAAATATAGGCTGCCAGCATAACTTGAACATAAGGTTCTCTTTGCTCATTCAGTGTAAAATTTAAGTCATTATCTTTGGTATGAACAATATACATATTACAGAAAAAGAAATGGGATTATCAGAATCTGATATCTGTGCAGTTTACTGACACTTTCTTAACATAGTAAATACTAATAGCTTTTTGTAAATCTCAATTATTATTTTCTAGTTTGGGCTTGGAAACCTTTTAACAAGTGGAACCTTTAAAAGGATTACAGATTTATAGTAGTTCAGGTGGGTAACTGCATCAGCATGCATAGTCTGCAAAGGAACGAGTAATAGGTTTATTCCATGCTGAAAAGAGAAGAGAGAAAACAACGCTTCAGCTGTGAAGCCTTCTTCAGGTGTGAGCACCTGAAGATTTATAGTTAACAATTAAATGCTTTTATAACTAGTTTATTTTTAATTATATGGATGTAATATAATAGGGATGTAAAGGTGGTATAATGCCATTATGCAAAAAAAAGGTGAATCGTTTCCAATCTACAGCACTGTATGTAATAATATTGTTTCTAAAAATTTAATTTTCTAAAACTAAGAACGTGGAAAATATAGGAATTTTGGGGGGATTCTGTGCTTTTTAACTACATGAAAATGTGGTCATTTTGGTGCAAATCTTAAATCAGATTGGCAGTTGTAAGTTACTTAGTTTTGGTTAGGGACATGGGACAACAGGGTACAAAGTAGGGCTACAAGCTTGGGATGGTGATCTGTCTCACAGCACACATACAAATACACAGGGGCAGTGTGGAGTTAGCAGGTAACTTAACTGGCACCCTCATAGAAAGTAGGATGAAACTGGAGCACCCAGCAAACTAGTGAAGACCACGTAAAACCAGAAAGAGAAGGAACCCCAGTCTGAATTCAGAAGAGCTGTGGGGCAGTAGAACCAACTGCCCCACTACAGTGGTGCCTGGCAATATCAAACAATTTAGACAGATTTTTTTTCTCTAGACTACTGTTTCTCAACGTTTGTCCTTGTTTTTTATGTACTGTATCTTTGCATACATAAACTGTTGATATCTGATAACTCTTGTTATCAGAGATATCATTAAATATGAATGATGTACATCATACAACGCATGAGGATTTTTTACTGTAGTGAACGCGAGACACAAGGCACTCAAATCATTTACAAATGCAAACAGACGAAACGAATCACAGTACAGTATTTGAATTGTTCAAGCTACACAAATCGTTATCAGAATAAACTTGAGCCTAGTCTAAAAATTCAGTTCCAGGATCATTTACGATGGAGTACAAAATGAACCAACAACGGAAAACGGATACTGGAAAATTACTGTACTTTAAACCTTGTTTGCTTTGAAAACAAAACTATCGTGCTGACATTCGTTTTATTTTGTAGTTTTCATTTTCTTTGCGCTAATTTCGTTGCACGCACATATTTGTGATGTGTAGCAAACTACAATCCATTATCGAAAACATCCATGCAGTTATTAGCGTTATTAAAAAACTTGTAAAACATCTCCTGGTAAGGCTGTGTAATTCTTTTACACTAAAGCACTAAAGTAAAGAGACTACGGAAATAACACAGCACCACACCAAAATCTAATCCAACGCCACTCTTTCACGAACTGCCTTCTGACAAGTTTGCCTCAGCTTCCCCTTCACTATAGCTCCTCTAGCCATATTACGAAACGAAATGTAGTGAACTGCCGTGAAGCTTAGACAAGAGGAAACAGTTTGCGGCGGAAAACAGCGCGCAGGTTTGAACAGACAGCTGCTACCGGAACAGGGCGAGCTGTGGGAGGAACTGAGTTTTGCGTATTGTTCGACAATGTAAAATAGCACATATTATATTGAAAAATAAACTTGGCTTACAAGGGACAACTTTTAACAACAGGTACGTGATTTACAGGAACTGTGCTTTATGCATTTAAAGGCTTTCTTGGCCTGTCATCTGTCACTACTGAACCCGGTAGGCTATGCTGTTTCCAGGGTAACCGAGTAACTGCTAAATGCTACTGTACACATGTTCGGTGCTTTAACTGATTTACAAAGTGTAATACATACTATTGATTTCCGTGCATGACCAGTTATATCTTAAAAATGAATGCAAGTTACGTTCTAATCTTTACTGGTGTCGTGTCGTGTCCAACAGGTGGAATGGTATATCAGTCCCATCTGTAACGTAATAAATAAATCTTAAAACGTGAAAGTAAAATTGCAGTCGTGCAAATTCAACAATATGTGTTCTAATACTTGGACTAATAATGGACTTGAATTGCATTGCGGCATTTGCAATCAAATGCTTAAGTTCAAAGATCTTGAACTGGCTCTTACTCGGCCAAATCCACATTCGTGATGTTTCAGATACAATATTTGTATCTTTTCTTATTTGCTCTCTCCTACATTCTGTATGAAACTGAGTTTTGTAATGTTTTTTTCCCTCCCAAGTCCCTTCTGATTGTGGTTATACTGTACATCATAGAAATGGCTGCAAAGCAGGGTGATCGAGGTCGAATATTGCTGCTGGAAGAAGAAGTAAAAAACCTCACCGAAGAGCTCGTTCAATGTCAGGTAACGGCTGATGTTTTGTGTGCCATACAGACGTTTCTACACACGTTTCGTCCTGGTATTATATGAGTAGTATAAAGAGGAAGTTATTGGTTTGTTCTGAGAGTCAGTGCAGTATGTGCCAGTATCCTGTGACAAGACGACTCTCTATAGTCAGACACCTATTTTCCTTCTTCACCTATCTTTCGAGTAGTTCTTGTTAATCGATGAATAGTTTATTTCTATAACCATGGCAGATTGAAATTCTGCTGTAGCTAAAGTATGCTTTGCGACAGCCAATCCTATTAATGACACAGGATAACGCTGACAGCTTTTTGCTCTGATTGAAACTTTTCAAATAAATACAAGCAAAAAGTTCAAAATGTGCCACTCTCCCCCATTTTGAACTGAATTTCATTTTTGAGCACGGAGAGAGAATTTTCCTTCAAGGTGCAACCAATGTGTATACATCACCACTCTTTTTGCTATTATGTCATCATAAAGTCAACTTTGTGTTGCTTCAGTTTGTTTGGAGATGCTGGAGAAATGAATATGACAATCTTGGAAAAGGTTGCCAAACCTTGTCTCTCTTCATGGATTAAATCATTGTATCACATTATGCAACAGGTGTAAACTAGACTTTTTCTTGAAAGATGAGTATTACTGTCATTGAACTGAAGTTAAAAAGACATGGATTCCGATTTCAGCACAAATGGGTAAATTGCATGTGATTCCCTTTGCACAGCAAATTTTCTGTTTGACATATAGACTGAAACACTTTAGAAATACAGTCATCATTTTCATCTGAAGGTGCTGCTAGAAAGGATGTTAATTACACGCTTGTTTGTGTTTGTGTATGTCTGTGTTTGTGTTTGCCCTGCCTTGCGCCTACTGCTTGCCAGGATAGTCTCTGGCTCCCCTATAACCCTGAATTGGAAGAAGCAGTTATAAGAAGGATGGATGGATGGATGAGTTATTTTTATACACATCCTCCAAGTTAGAAACACTGTATGCCAATTCCTAGGCCAGAAGAGCTGAAGACTAGCTCTATGCTATTCACTTTATGCCAGTTTGTCAACTAATTAACTTTTCAAGATCCCTAGCATTTAGCAAGCAACAGGGGTTGCTTTTGTATGAATAAAAAAAAAAAACTAACAAAAATCATATTTCAGAAGTTTGCAGAAAACCAATTTTATATACAGTATATAGTACTGTAAAGCATATGGCCGACATTACAGGTTGTGTGAGCCGGCTTGCCAAAGCGGTGATGTCACCTCCCTTCCATGTGAACAGCAGGGACCTCAGCTGAGGGGAGATCTCCCTTTAGCTTAGCTGGCTTCTTCCCTGTTGAGTGACGCCGGAGGTTCGGGTTCGAGCCCCCAGTGGTGGGGGGGCCACATACCCATGTGAACCCGAAAGTGCTACAGTACAATATGCAAAAAAATACCTGCCCATTGGCAAATGCTTCTCCTCTTGAACATTTATGCTGTTAAACCTTACTGGCCTGAAACATTCAGTCAGGAAAGTGTTGTAGGACTTTGTGGAAGTGAGTTACGGCCTGTAGGGTTTTTGGTGAAAGATAGAGCTGTTTGTGGCTGACATGTACGTGAATGAAGAACATGACATATCATCACATAGAATCCATCTATCAATCAGGGTTGTTGGGGAGCCCAAAACTATCCAGGCAACGGGTGCAAAGCGGGGTACACCCTGGATGAGATGTCACTCCATTACTGATCACATAGAATCATTTTTAAAAATGCAGTTGAATTTTACAGTCATTTCTGGCCTGTAACAGTATGACAGTGGATTCCAGCTGGTTTATTGCGTGTTTTCAGATATTTATCGTCAGTTTTTTTGTCGTTTTTTAGTTCTTAACATATTTACCATTCAGCTAAATAATCATGCTTTTTTGGGGGGATTAATCTATTCAGAATTCCCAGAAATTGAAGTCTGTAGTCTTGGATTAAAGTGATTAGGCTTGCTTTATTACTGTTTAAAAAAAAAAAAACTTTAAAAGAACAACATGCATATGCTTTATTTATTTGAAATTAATAATTGCATTTTATGAAAATATATAACATATATTTGAATCTACTAGCTAAATATGTAGCCCAGTGTTTTAAAATTTGGGAAAGCTGGACTCTATGAAACGAATTGTGTTCACGCCATTAAACCTGATGTCTTGAGAAGGTCACAAGACAAGCACATGTTGCTCGGCATTCTTCGGTTTCGGCTAAAAGGTCAATCTAAGAAGTCAGATTAGTCCATTGCTACAGTAGCTGAGGGTAGCCGATTCAGTTAATTTATGAATATCCTATTCATTGCCACTTAATTGACATCCACTTTGCATCCTGACAAATTTGATGGTTTCATTGGCTTTGTCAGGTTGTTTGCTGATAGGTATATCACAAGAACACAATATAAAAAGAGAGATAAAGAGACTGTCTTTACAGCATTTTGAATATCCGTTTTCTCAGTCAAGGTTTGTTAGTGCTGTAGATCTGATCTTTTATGTCAGTACAGCCCTCTCTGTGCAGAAGAGGCGTGTCACCACTCTTTATTACAAATACATCCTTGTGCCTATATTTGGCATTTGCCACACTGATTTGGGCCAAGTGACAGGGCCTTATCAGAACCAGTAAGAGCAACCACTCTGCATTACAGTACGTCAGCAAAATGGAAGGGGCTGTATGTCACTGTGTGTTGCTGTATATTCGGAGAGTATGAAAACTGACTGAAACAAACATGCATCAAGGAGCTCCTGATACATTTCTATTTCTTACCCTGGGTCCTTCCTGACAGCATAAGAGACTACCTTTTTGAAGTCTGACTGTTCTTAATTCATCATTAACTGCAAATGTGGGTTCAGAGTATGTGAGATCTTTATTTTGCCCATCTTTGCTCCACTTTGTATGTTCAACCAATGGTCTATCAAGGTCTGCCTCTGCCATTTAATAAATAATTGATCAGACACTTTTGAATGTGGTTCAAGATTCATGTACTAATTGGAGACCAGTAGATTCTAGCGAGAGCAGTGACTTTTATCTTATGATGATACGAACGTATTTTAACAGATAATTTTATGTTAAGTCAATTGGAATCAGTCTGTCTTTTAATGTTCAAAACTGTGTAGTTTTAGATGTTTCTCATTAAATGTAATTCATCTTAAAAAAAAAAAGAAGAAAATACTTCCAGCATATTTGAATTGGAAATTTATCAGACTTGCTACATTCCCCCTGCAGTGCAACTTTCCTTGTCAACTATTTTTATCACCTATGATTTGTGATATGTTTCATGTCAACGTTTCAATGACAGCCAGTCGATTAGTTGTTTCTTATACTAACTGTTATACTTTGAGGTTATTTCTGTATGCAGATTTTGTGTAACATAGTTTCATAGTTTGTTTTCTGTATCATTTGTGATTAATTTCAAGAAATATGAATTGCCTGATATGAGTTTAATTTAACTGTTGCTGATGTACTATGAACAAGCCTACAGTATTAACAAGCCTATTTCAACACTTTATCAGAATCTTCTTTAAGTCTTTTTAGGTACTTTTCTAATTTAAGATGAGGCTTTGAACATCTTTGTTACAATACTTTGTATTTTTAGCTTGGTGTCATCTTCAATTCCTTCTATATTGGAACTATTTATGTTATTTCATTTATGTTATTATTTGAAATTTGTCATGTCCAGTACAATTACAACATTTTGTTATTTTGGCTTTGCTGCATAACTAAAATTGGAACTTGAACCTACAGTAGATGAGTGACCTCTAATCATGTTGGCAATATGGAAAACAAAAATGTCCAGAGTGCAATACTGGACTCCTTATACTGTACGTGGTGTTTTTGCCAGTGGATCTTCATTCGTCTCACTTGCCGAAGACATTCTGCCCAGATTAGCTTCTCTAAGTTGTCACTGTGCATGTGCATGCCCCATGTAATGAACTGACACTCCCTGCAGGATGTACAGTTCTGACCTGTACCCTATGAGGGTTGTCATGACTTATATGAAGAATAAGCTGCTTTCTGTGTGGCTATATTTTTAAAAATGTATGTCAAGGCGGAGTTTGTAAGTTCTCCCCATGTTCATATGGGTTTCCACCTACCAAGACATGTTGGTTGGATAACTACTGTAGCTTCTGGGAAAATTGGCCCTGGTGTGAGTGTGTGCGTGTTTGTACCGTATCTGTCTGACCTGCAATGGACTGGGCATTTCATCCAGGGTCTATCCAACCTTGTGCCCTTGTGCTCCCTCTCCCTCACAACCCTGAATTGGATGAAGCAGTTTGAAAATGGATGGATGGATATGTCAGAGTAAAATTAGACCTGATTGACGCATTGTTCTCTTCAGGCCGATAAGGAGTTTGTGTGGTCCTTATGGAAACGCCTTCAAGTCGCCAACCCAGACCTGACCCAGGCCGTGAGCTTGGTTGTGGAGAGGTGAGTAGAAACATGGGGTTTGGCATTTGGGATTGACTTTACTGTAGCTGCAGACATTTTGATTTGTTTCACTTCATGTGGTGCAAGCAGTTGTTCACAAGTCATTCATTTTACATGAAACACATGATAAATACCAAAACAAAATTTCACTCTCTTTGTTGGATTGTGATGTTTTGTATACTGTTGTTCTGGTTGCAACAGAGTGCCTAACACTTGGTAATTACAATTCTGAGTTTTTTTTCTAAAGTTGTGGTGGATGCCGATTTTTAAAAATTGTTTGGTAAAGAATGATGCGTCATCAGCTTCTACACCCCACCATGTCATTGTGATTGATGAAGCTGCTCTAGTATGACGTACATTCTTATACAGAACTTACTGTACGTCCCTTTGGGAAATTGACAGCACAAATAATATTCAGTGCTGGGAACTGTTTATAATCCTGCCTTTGTTTTTTCCAGAATTAGTGTCATGTGTGATGCCTATCAATGCTGGCTGTAGTTTTTCTCTTATAAGCTGACTGAGAACCTGAAGGAATACCTTGAGTATTGTATGCTGTTCCTGGATGAGATGCACCTCTAGCTCATTGTACTACTAGTTCAACCTCAGGGCAGCATGCCAGACAGATTTGTAGGTCTCTTTGAATTGTCAGCAACACAGGGTGTCTGGATGACTTAAATTAGCTCACTCTCAGCATAACCAGACCTGTAACTCTTCTGCACAGTTCTTAGGTTGCTTCTGATTTAAGGAAACATGTAAAACTTTATGGACCGACATGGTTTGCCTTTCTCTTGATGCTTAAGATTCTCTGGCAGCAGCCGATTGTCCTGAAGATATTTAATTGGTGCCACCTTTGAAGACAGGCAGCCCAGAGAAATACACAGGCCTACTGTGCACCGATTGTAGGCTGTACACTGATCATTTCTTGTCACTCATTCTGTCACTAGTGTCATTTTCACAATTCACAAGAGAAGGCACCTATAGGTAACTTAGTTTCAAGAATGGCAACAGTTTCAGGTTGTGTTTTGCATATGGCAATAAACTATGACTCTTTAGAAGGATCTTTGCCATTTTCTGCATTCATGGTGATGTAAAGGGCCTTTGTCCTTAATCAAGTCACTCAACAGTGGAACCATTTTGATGAAAAGAGCCCATAATGTTTACATTAAAAGTAGATTGACATGTCATCAAATACCATTTTGAGGTATGGAATTCAGAAGGTGAAGTTAACCTGTCTTTTGTTTCCTGAAAAATATCCTGATGGGCAAGTATTCAGTGAAAATGAACATACCTGTATACTGTATTGTTAGTCTTGTTGGGAAATGCTTTTCACAACCTGATTTCTGCCAACCGTTGAGCCTCTACTTTTAACCCCACACCATTAAATTATGTAAAAATGATCTAGAATTAGTTTTGTCCCTGATTCTTTATTTTATTCATGTTTAATTCTATGTTCAGTAGTTCTAAGTGACTGACAGCTAAGAAAATGAATTTGACTCCAATCTTTCCTTGGATCAGGTACTGAACCGAAACACTACAGTACAAATCAGGGTAAAAAGCAAACAACCACAACAACCCAGCTGTATGTGGATTATCAGAGCACAAGATATAGTGTGGTATGTAATAACTGAGGCTAACCCAATAAGTATATAACTGCTCAGACCTTTCTTGTGTCTGGTTTGTGTTGTAAATCTTTATAATGTTCTAATCAGTACTGCTTTGTGGTGAACTTGTTACACTGGTTTTAAACCTATAGTTTAGTAGACTAAATGTTGTACCTGTGAAATTGAGGGTTCTCCCATTGAAAGTAAAATATAGTGAATTGAAACTAATGCCATACTCTTCCTGTTTTGAATGGGAATTCCCGATTTTTGTTTAGAATACAAAAGGTTTTCCTTGACCAAGCCTTTCAGTTAAAAAAAATCCAGTAGTTGGTGAACGCAGAAAGCAGGCCACAGTACCTTGATCTGTCTGTTAATATTTTACTTTATTGGAAAATAAAGAAATGAGGAGAGTTCCTCTGAGACAAGGTAAGACGCATCATGAGCATGTGTGTATCAGCATATCAGAGCATTGGTATTGACATGATAATTGCAGCGACTGCAGTTAAGTCTGAAAGTGCGCTGGGCCTGTGGGAATTCGGCTGGTCTTATACCAACTGGATGGCTGCTAAGGACACAGTCTGAATTGTAAGGTGCAAGTTTAGCACTTTATTCAGCAGAGGCAGGCATCACTTAAAAATCCTTTGGGGGAACCCCAGCGATCTGCAGATGTTCAAAAAAAGACTGGCTTGAGTCTCAGATTGTTTTTTTTCTTCCCTGGTGCTCACAAAAAAGACATTTAGTATGAAAGGTATGTTGGAAATGATTACAGTTCACAAGGGAATGTGAGCCGAATTTCAGATTTGATGTCATCTTAATTACAGTATCTGAAGATCAGTGTAATCTTATACTGGTGCTGATTGACACACTTCTTCTGTTATTTGCACTAGGGAAGTGTGTACAGTGTTTAAAGGGAACTTCTGAGTTTTTTTCTGACTTCATTTTTTTGGTTTTACTTATACTTGGAAATTAGGTGTACATTCTTATTGGCTCACAGGACTGTTTTCAGTCGGTAGCTAAGGTTCTTTATTAATCAGAACTGAAATATTCTGCCCAGTTTACATTTCCTGCAATCATTTGATGACGGTGGATCGGCCACTTAATGTGAACCAGCAATGCGATGAAAGGAAGTGCTAAGTAATATTAAAAAGGGCTTTTAAGGCCCCATGATTATGTTTAATTAAGTTTTTGTGGCAGCATTATTTTTTTGCAATTTGGTGACACATTTACAGTATATGGGTATATCAAATTCATTTTGTAAATATATACAGATAGAGTGTGTTGAAAAGTAAGTATACCCCCCTAGGATATTATTGTTTAACATATTTAAATATGATTGACCTTCACCTAGTCCACAACAAGTCCTAATAGAAGATAGAAATAGCCTCATTGTACAAATACCACACAAAATCTTAGTTATAATTTATTTGAAGGGGAACTGCAGTCTCTCAGACCGGTAATTAAATTTCAGTAACAAAATCAATTTGTTAATGGTATAGGAACAAAATATTAATTTCAAATTAAGCTCAAAATTGCAAACTTTATGAAAGTACTGTAAGTCACCATATTGTCGTAAACCCCTGGTCTCGCTTGGGTGGGAGAGTTCCCACGAATTGTGATGTGATGCTGCTCACTAGTCACTGTAATGACTAATGTAATGCCATGTACAAGAGAATAAGTAGAAGAAATCTGCATGCAGAGTTAACAAGCGAGTTCCATTTATCGGCAAAACCATCTTGAAGATGAGAACAATAGTTATATTGGATTAAAATAGTTGTATTCACAAACCTGCTTGTTTAAAATGTAATAGGGCCACTTCACATCACAGTTTTGTTGCCTTGTTCTGTATCAAAGAAAATGGCACTGTGCATGCCTGGAAATTTCATTTGTTTTGTGATGTACATTGGAGGTTTTACAAGTTACCTCCTCCTAAGTGCATTTCAAACCACATTTTACTTTTATTGTGGTTTACATTGCACTTACCAATTCTTCTATCCTGGAAATATAAAAATAGTTTTGCAGTTCCCCTTTAAAATAATCACCCAGCATTTAAATCTTTTTGTGGAAAAAGTAAGTGCACCTTTAGTCCTAAAATCTCAATAAAGATGGTACTGTATATAGAATCAAGTGCACCAAAACATGTGCAAGTGATTAGTTGGTCATCAGGAGGTGATTTCACCTGTATTTAAAATCAGAATCTTTGTCAGTTTGGCCTTAAACACTTAGGTTTGTGGTAACACATCAAGGTCAAATTTAAACAAATCTGTGAATTTTTGTTGCTTGTCAAAGCCATAACCAAACAATTTGCAGTCCATCATTCCATGGTAAGAAAAATCATCTACAAATGGAGAAAATTAAACACTGTTGCCACTCTAACAAGGGGTGGCCATCCAACCGAGTTCTTTGCAAGATCTGCCTGTATGATGCTCCTAGAAATCTCAAAGAACTCCAAGGTAACATCCAGGGCTCTACAAGCCTTTCTCATATGGCAAATGTCAGAGTTCTTGAGTCCATCATCAGGAAAAGATAGAATAAGAATGGAACATTTTCCAGGTGGAAACCTCTGCTCTCCAAAAACAACATTATCACATGTCTTAAGTTTGCCAGACACCACTTAAATGAAAAACAAGACTTCTGGAACAGTGCTCTCTGAACTGTGTCAAAGGTGGAGTCGTTTGGCCATAGTGCAAAACATCAAATTTGGCAAAAATCAAACAACCTTTGACCAGAAGTCTCATACCAGCCATCGAGCATGGTGGAGTTTGCTTTGTTGCCTCAGGTCTTGAAAGCCTTGCTATCATTGAGTCTACCATGAATTTCACACAATAACAAGAGTATCCCAGAGGAAATTGTGAGACTGTCTGTCCAACAAGCAAAGCTGAACCAAAACTGGATTATGCAACAGGACAACAATCATAAACATGTAAAATAATCTATGACAGAATGGCTTGAAAAGAAGAAATTCAGGATTTTGGAATGGAAAGTCAAAACTCCATAGAGATGCTGTGGTGAGACCTAAACAAGGCTGTGCATAGAATAAAGCCATTGAAGCAGTTCTTTAAGGAAGAGTGGGCCAGAATTTGTCCCAGGCGATGTGCGAGACTGATCAACTCTTACAGGAAACATGTAACAGTATCATGTCATGTTATTGCGGCTAAAGTGGACGCCACAAGTTACTGAATCAAGGCATGCACTTACTTTTTCACACAAAGATATTGAATGCTGGCAGATTTATTTTAACAAAAAGCAATAAGAAAGTAGAATTTTTGTGTCTTATTTGTCAAATGGGGTCAGTTTTATCTATGTGAGGACTAGGTGCAAGTCAAGTGATATTACATTTTTTCCCCAGAACATCTGACATTTAAACAAACATCTATTTCTGAGTCCATGTCTTATTGTGGAAAACTGTGTAGTATTCACGGTTCACATCAGTTGTTCTCTTTAACTATTCAGTATCCAGTCTTTCTTAATCATAGATGTATGTCAGAGGGTCATGGTTCACTTAAACCATTGGAAATGATTGGAAAGTATCCAGGTAGATCTATTGCATACTGTATACTGTAGTTCACCCCAGGATCACAAGGCCATATAATGGGGATAGAGAGCAAGACATTGGTTTCGTTGTGCTGGACATAAATCCACCAGCCCTTAATATAAGATATTCAGTTCATGTGTTATCAGTTGTGAATAAGATCATGCCATTGACTGCAGATGTTGTCATGCGTGTTTCTTTAACTTCTCAGTGCACAGATGTTGTATCAGCTGTGCATTGTTAGAATACTGTGAGTGCTTCGAGTGTTTAGTAATATTTTAAAAGATTGCAGGATATTAGTTATTTTCAAATGTACATTTCCTAATATATATAAATAGCATTGTCTGTCTGTGTTAATGTTTTATGTTCCGTTTTTTGAATAGCTGATGTATAGTATCATGATGATTTTTGCACTATTAAAAGGAGTGGAAGAAATGTTAACTGGATGAGTATATGTCATTAAATTGAGGTGTATGTATCTTTAAGTCAAAGTGCTTGCATTTGGTGTGTGGAAATCTGTACTGAAACCACGTAAAAATTGTGTTTAGTTGAACAGAATTAGAGAATCATTACTTCTTTCCATTGAAGGTTCTAATCCCACATGAAAAGTAAGCAACAGCAACCTAAGGGTATTTTACAGAGGACTAATTTTAAAAAATATGAAGAATGTAAAGATGATTATTTTTAAATAATCTGGCAATTCCTTCCATGAAATTGATCTAATCTTTTGTTGTTTTGATACATTTTCTAAGACTAATCACATGTACAGTAGCTGGTAAACTTATACCTTTGCTCATTTTATCAGTACTTCATCAGTACAAGCAAGTAGGGTACAATAGAACTGCAAGTGATCATTTCCTTTGTAAATAGGGCTAAAGTAAGGTGTTTTCTTTTACATCTCCTTGTTTCCTTTCTTGAACTTATTTATTGTTACACAAGAATTTAAGAAACTATGCTGGATGTCTTTCCCCTGGATATTCATTGTACAAAACAACATACTGTACAGTACTTTCCTCTTGGTGAATATAGTTGTCATTTTTTGCCTGATGAGTTAATTTGCTGTCACATGCCATATGCTCAATTTTTTTTTATGCAGGGTCTGTCAGTTTCATATGATCTTTAATACTTGAAAATGACACTGATCATTAGGCGATGGAGAATTCACATGATGAGCTACAAATGATCACTGAGGGCTTTTTATTATGTATTTTTTCTAGAGAGAAGCAGAAAGCTGAAGCCAAAGACCGGAAGGTATTGGAGATTCTGCAAGTTAAAGACAATAAAATACAGGAGTTGGAGCAGGTATGTAAAGATACCCCTGTCATTTTCAATCTGTTTAACTTTGCAGTTTAAAATCTTTACTTTACATTTAGAAAAACATTCCTAAATATTTTTTTCTTTACGTTTAGAAAACGTTTTTTGTTATTATTCAAATTTTAGGTTTGTAATGAGAGTATAAACAGAAAGTAAACTCTGAAAAACTAAACTGTGGTTAAATTGTAGACTTTAAGATGGATAAGCCATATATTTTTTTATAGTATTTGACAATAATCTTTTTGCAATTATCTCATTAAGCTTCCAACTATTGAAAAGATCCTCCATCACAATTAAGAAAGGCCCATCAATCTTTAAGAATGATTTATTTTAGTTCTTCAGTGTTTCGTAGTATAAATTCTTGCTGGGTGTAGATTGTAACACGTTTTACTAAAGTATCTTAGGGACTACTGATTGGTTTTCTTTAGGATGCCAGTCTGATCAAATATGTGGCAAAAGGTTTTATGGTCAGAGGACACAAAATTGGAACGTTCTGGTCTAAATACACATTGATGAGTGTATTTCAAACCACAATGAAAGTAAAATGTTAACAGTTGTAGTAGTTTGATGGGTTTACTGAGACAATTATTAATTGTAGCAGTAATCACGAGGTTGTTCGTTGGGGCTTTTAGAAAATCAATCGTCAGAACAACTAACAA